TACAGTTCATTCTAACTCGCATACTACTATTTTCTTCCATCTTCTTCTGCACCTGAAACGAAAAGTTGAAAGGGTTGCCTCCGATTATGGGTGCTATAGAGAAGCACTCTACAGTGAGAGGAGAAGCCACCTCTCTCCCTATATACGGAGGTCTTGGGGGGGGGGGGCACACTCTTCGCCTCCTTGCTACACTGACTTATGACAATCAAAGCTCCAAATTAGACAATTCTTCCAAATACCTATTCTGCTTAAACATGTTTGGAGATACAGTCTACTCTTATATTAATACATCTTGCTTTCAGGTGTTTCCTCTTACTTACACTATAGCCCAACTATCGATACCAGAGTATAATGTTCCCTTCACAGTTCCCCATCTTTCAATTTCATAACATCCTCGACAAGTTTCCCCCCCATCATCTCATTATGTGCTGTGAATATTTTATTATTTATATGAACAGCCAAATGTCCAAGCACTAACCATCTATATGGTATTTCCTTTTCTCTCAATGTTTTTGCCGTTTCGTGCAAACTTTGTCTTGCAATCAGCACCTCTGGGATGACGTCAGCGTACAAAAACACGCATGTGTCTTCAAGGAGCATACCCTGTTTTTCTCGAGCTATTTTAAAAAGTTTATTTCTTATATTAAGCTCTTTGAATTTGATGATAATATCCTGCGGAACTCCTGGGGGGGGGTCTCTTTGAAATGTTGATTCGGAAAGCCGTGGTAATTATCTCTTCAGAAGTCTCTGTTACACCCTCCGACCGCAGTGTCTGTAGAAGCCACTTGTTTAATTCCTCCTTAATTAATGTTGTATATGCCATTAAAGGTCTATTGATTGATTGATTGATTGATTGATTCCTCCTTAAGATGACCTGTTGCACAAAAGTTGGAGGAAACCCCCTGTAGTTTCGCTTTTCTTTCCCTTAGTCTCGTCTCCTGAAGGATAATTCTGTTCTTGGCCCATTTTTCAAACATTTGTACCTCTGATAAATCATCAGAAACTTTTCTAGCAATCTGAAGTGCAGATTCTGCCTTCTACTCCGTCTTTTTTACAGCTGAAAAAAACAAAAGGAAACAACAACAAGGACCCAGCAACCCTAGAGAGTAGAACAATACAAAAAAGTTGCCGAACAAGTGCAATATACTTATGCAAAATATTAGTAATTTAATACATATTCTTTTTGTTTCAGTAGCTGCACATCCAGAGACCGAAGTCCCAACAAGACGAACTTGCTCGAGATTTTAGCTGTTCGTTTCGACCAAAGTCTTTGTCACATCTCAGTTTGTAGTCATTCTTTCTGTTCACAAAGTCAATTCACAAGTGGCTGAACACAGCTCCCAACTGATATTAGAAAATTCTACAAACTGAGATGTGACAAAGACTTTGGTCGAAACGAACAGCTAAAATCTCGAGCAAGTTCGTCTTGTTG